CAACACTTACCCCGGCCAAAAATCCATCATTTGTATTTTCTCGCTTCATTTTCTAATTCCTTTTATTACACTTTGATTTCAGAAATTTAATAACCTTGTTTACATGTTTATTTTGCAACGCTCGATTTACTTTCATTTAAAAATAGAAAATGAATGAATCCATATTCATACGTTCATACTCAGTAAATTATTGATTTGTCTTCTCAAATCCATTTCGGCAAATCGAAATTACTTTTTGATTTCATGCAAATAAACGACATGATTTTGTGAATATAATATGCATAATATCGGTACAATTTCTTCAATAATTTATACGAAATTTTTTTAAAGCAATTTATATTAACATTGGAGATATTCTTAGTATTATACACATATAAAACAAATTCCAACAAGCATACGGCAAAGAAGCCTATACTCTATTTGTTCTCTTAAACAAGAAAAAGGAAAATATCAATTAGCAATCTAACCCTTTTCCTCACCTAATCAGTTGAAACATCATATATTGATCGATCAATCTAAGAAAAGTTAAACAACTAAAAGAAAGATCGATTCTTTAAAATCTCCAAACATGTCGTGAATTGAAAAACTCTCGTCATCTGCACCTCCGACCAATTATTGAAAACAACGTGACATAAATTTGGGAATTGGTCAGCAGTTGAGTGCGCGTACGAGGGACAAACCTCCCATCATAGTTGGAGATGTGTTCGAATCTTTTCATACAAGTCAAAACTTTTGGGCCACAAAAACTGTTCATTCCCATGCCATCTTCAATGTCTAGTAGCTGTAAATAAACAGTGAGACCTTCGAAATTTTTTTTATTTTTTTTGTAGATAATTAACACTTCCGAGTTACTATTGCTCTCTTAATTACACATAAGCTAATAAATGAAATTGTGCTATGTTCTAAAGTGACATAACATAGACACAATGAGGTGCACTGAGAATACGTGTTAAGATAAACCATGGCTCACAATAGCAAAATGATTAAGCCGTTGTTTGAGCCCCATTTTGGAGAACAAAATGAATTTTTGAATAGTATATTGATGGAAAATATGTAGTTAAAAAATAAGGAAAAGTTTTGAATTTGCGTGTAATATTATTTTAATGAAAAATATGTGGTTGAAATGATGTCAAAACACTGTTGAAAAATACATTTTTTTCGAAAGAATGGAGCTCAAACAAGGGCTAGGTTGAAGTTTGAACAATAAGTCTTGACTAGTTCTAAACATCATACTTCTATTTTATTTTTTTATGCCGTCTTGCATTTTAATTTGATTGGATGAACATCTATCTGTCTATCTTTTTCTAGTGTCTTGATCTAGTGATCATTCCTCGTCTTTGATTACAAACTATCGATTTCAAAGCATAGAAAAGAAAGGTGTTTTAGCAATTGAGCGAAAGAATGACGTTATGGAGGCTTCCAAATATGAAGACGAATAAGCCTTTCAAAAGCATTAGAAAGGCTACCGAACATCATTAGGAATTAGATTTTTCATGATATTCTAGTTTTCTATAGAAAGATTAATTGTTACCGATTGAAGTTGGTGTCTAAATTAGCTATCAAGCTGAAACTTCCTTAGCCAAAGATATGAATTCGAAAGATGTCATATTCATATAGATATACCATTGTCTTCAAGAACTTCTAACCTTAAAAGGACTAACCATCGAAGTCGAATAACCCGATAAATCTCTGTCCCCTAACTCCTGAGAAGAACACTAGAGAAAGAACTTTCTTTTCATCAGTGCTTTTGGTCTTTTAGGTACATTGCGAAACGACAATTTATTTTCAAATTTAGACCTGTTTGGGTTAACGTAAAAAATTGATTAAAATTAAAGTCAACAATAAAATTTTATCCACACGGTTAATGGGATATCCCCAATTTTTCAGTAACACATGCTATCATCTTTTATAAAAATATAATTTTTATCTAAATAGATACGGACTTATTCTCTTCCTCACCAAAGAAATCTCAAACAAAACCTCCTACATTCGAAGTCACCTCATAGGGTGGTCAAGTTGGTGGAATATGTGAGCGCGAAAGCCTTTGATCACGAGTTCGATTCCCTCTACCAACACTTTCTCGGCAAGCCTGTCGCACCGGACTTGCCTAGTGCTATTTACCTGGCTAACGTGGTTTGCGGGCTATTATATCAATCCGATGGTTTATCAATGTGTACCCGAAGGGTAGCGACGGTGGGTTCCCCAGTCATAAAAAATAATAATAATAATAAAAATAAAATAAATAAACCTACTACATTCAAAGTATGTTAGGTGCCCGCTATTAAACTATATGGATAAAACCATGAATAAAATTATAACAATATATTCTTTGTCTAATTAATAATTTCTCGTGACCATGCATGCTTGCTGTCTGCATAAATTTGCAAGTATACATATACAGTCTTATATGTACATTAAACACTAGAGGGACAAAATCCACCAACGTTATACGGACGTCGGCCATATCCCATATGGTCCACAGCTACATTAACTTTTATCTATATGTTTTTTGAATTGTAAAGAGATTAGGATTAAGAAAGGGCCATGGTTTGGCTCAATGTCACTTTTGGTCTTGAATTTATTGTCTTGTTTTTTCTCATCCAAGTATCCAACAAATTTTTATATATGTCCACTAGGGTAGGGTCATTTTGCAGCTAATTTTATATGGTTCATTAGTCCCTTTCTTAGTAAGTGGTAGTAGTTTACGAAATAATAATGTGAGTTATGCGCTTGGTCGGATCATAATTATTCGAGATAATATTAGTCTTCGCTTATATTAATTATATGTGTAAATAACAACAGTGTGATTTAATAAAACGCGTTAGAAGGATGAAATATGATTACTAGTAATGTTAGATATGCGCTTGGTCAGATTATAATCATTTGATACAATGTTAGTGTCCACTTCTATTATACACGTTGATAACAACGGTGTGGTTTAACAAAACGTGTTAGAGGCAATATGATTACAAATAATATGAGTTATGCGCTTGGTCGTATCATAATCAATCGCTACAATATTAGTCTTAATTTGTATTATACGTGTTGATAGCAACAGTGTGGCTTAACAAAACGCGTTGGAAGAACGAGATGTGACTACAAATAGTCTCATTATGTTCATTGAATCTTTCATTTTCTTTGTTGAATAAGGTTCTCTTTGTTTGAACTTCGAAAATGATATGCCCAGTGTTGATGAGAAACAAGCAGCAGTAAATGAAAAAGCCCTTCTGTAAAACTATTGGTGGAAAAATAATTTTTACTGCTAATTTCTTGGATCAGAACGAGTTGTTAACTCCATGATTAAACTCTTGTGTAATTTTTTTTTTTAATTTTTTTTATGGGAAATTCTTATCAATAATGTCTAGAATAGTTTATTGGGTACTTTAAATTACACTTGAAAAAAAAAAAAAAAAAAAAGAAGAGAGAGAGAGAGAGAGAGAGGATATTTTTAGCCATTTTCAAAAGCTTGGATTAAATTATGGTTGGATTAAATGCACAGTTGGTCTCAACTTTGAACACAGTTGCATCAGTGTCACTCATCTTAATTTGATGCAACTATGTCGTCAAACTTTTTCCTGCATATCTAATCACTCATGTTCAATTTGATATAATCAAATTATCAAACTTCAATTTGCTTGCAAATCTCCGTTATCTGTAATCAGTTTAACTAACACGATATGTTGATCGAACATTAAAATTAATGAATTATTGACATGTAAAAACGTGCACTTGGCTTATAAGTTTTATTTAAAAGTATATTTTAAGATGGGTGATGTCTGTTGTGTAACGTGAACATGCACATGAATTATTCATTAATTTTAATGTTCAGGTCAACATATTATGTTAGTTATGTTTAAGGGTAGTGGACCAGAAATCAGAATGACAGATTTTCAAGAAATCAAAGATGGGCGATCTAATTGTACTAAATTGAAGATGAGAGACCAGTTTGCAAGCAAATCAAGTTAGAGTGCGTTTGATTGCCTATATTTTTAACGGAAAATGTGTTTTTCCACATAAATTTCTACTTTTGTGTTGTTCGATTGTCAATTTTTTTCATGGAAAACATTTTCCTACTTTTGATCAAGTGACTATATTTTCCTCAAAATGAAGCAAAATATTTTCTTTATAGAGAGTAGGATTTTATTTCAACGTAATTCACTCCCTCTTTCTCTCTCTCGTCTATTTACTCTCTCTCATCTACCAACCAATAAAAAATGACAAGTATAATATTTTCTAAATTGAAAATTAAATCAATCAAACACATTTTTTAACAAATTCTAGGCAATTGAATTACCTAAAAATTATTTTCTTTTCATACAAATTTCATACTTATAATCAAACACACATTTACATCCTTTGATTCCACCAAAGATCAACGACGTGAATACAACTCCATTGCATTTAATTCACTTATAGCTTGATTGCCACTCAAAGACCTTGGTATTTTCAACATCTTAGGATATATTCATTAATTATTCATTAAACTAATCTACTGCCCTGAGAGAATAAATTTATTATTATTTTTATTTACTAAACAAATAGTACTAATTATACGACCTCAATATTTCTTATAAACCCATTTTCAACACATAATTAATTAGAAAATAAAATTAAAAATTATTTTGAGAACCATTGATAAAATTAAATTTTGAATAGTGATTTGTTTTTTTTTTTTGGAAGAATGTGTAATTAAAATGTACATAAATTTTCTGAATTACGTGTAAAATATTTTATTGTGTAAATATATGATTAAATATAAACATAAGAATTTAAAAAAAAAATTGGAATTATTATTGCCAAAGGCTTATTTTGAGAAAATATTTAGATATATTGGGATAGCTTGGGATAGGTTGACTTCTCAATCTACATCAGATCCGAAGAAATAGGTCAGAAAATTAATTATAGATAATATAAAAAAATAAAAATAAAAAACTGATGAGGTGAAAAGCGAAAATGGAGGAGAAAAGAGGCTTTTTGTGTACGTGTGAGGAGTGAGGACACATCATCTCCATGCTTTTACATCAGCTTACGCACACAGATACATGAATATATAGAGAAAGCGAGAAACAGAGAGACGGGGAGAAGGTGCTTACGTTACGTATGTCAGTGTTGGAATTGATTTCTCTTTAAACAGAAGAGAAAAAGAGTTGAAGTAAAGGATATTCAATGGTAAGGGTTTTTCTCTAATCAAGAGTAAGATCAATTTTGGGTGTTCTTTTTATATATCTTGCTGAAATTTTCCCTTTTTTTAAGGTTGGGTGCTGTTTTCTTTTTTTCGTACATGGATTGAGAATTGATGGGTTATAATGTTGAGTGATATTTTTTCCTGGTGAATACTGAAAGAGGATAGAATTGGTAGAAAGGGCTTCAATTTGGTGGAATTATGAGTTAAAGATTCAATCTTTTTGAGGTTTAGTTCTGTGTGGAAAGAGTGAGACAATTTTCTGGGGAAAAAATATTTGTGGGTTTTTCTCTTGGGAGTTAAATTAAAGTAGTAAGAGTTTTGTAGATTGAATTTTGTTTAAATTGTGTTGGATTTAAGAATTTTTGGGAAGAATAAGGAAGTATTTTTTGGAGGGTTTCAGAAGTTCATTTGGGGAAAGTTACTTGAGATGGGTAAGAAATTGAATTTGTTGAGCTAAACTTTATTTATTTTGTCTTAATTCTGCATCATATATATTTTATAGCTTGATAGATTTTTTTATGAACTGATTTAATTGAGAGAAATAGATTTGATGAGAGTTTTTATGGAAGATAAAGAAAAAACGAAGGAAACTGAGAGAGGTTTGGATTCTCAATTATGGCATGCCTGTGCCGGTAGTATGGTGCAAATGCCACCAGTGAACACGAAGGTATTATACTTTCCTCAAGGCCATGCAGAACACGCCTGTGGGAATGTAGATTTTAGGAGTTGTCCGAGGATTCCGGCTTATGTGCCTTGTAGAGTTTCTGCAATTAAATTCATGGCAGACCCCGAGAACGATGAGGTTTTTGCGAAAATTCAATTGGTTCCTGTTAGTGGGAATGATGTTGATTTTGACGATGAAGATGTTGATGGAAATTCTGGATCAGAGAACACAGACAAACCTGCGTCTTTTGCGAAGACGTTAACACAATCAGATGCAAACAATGGTGGGGGGTTTTCGGTACCTAGATATTGTGCGGAGACACTTTTTCCTCCTTTGGACTATACTGCAGATCCTCCTGTTCAGACCATTCTTGCAAAGGATGTTCATGGGGGTACCTGGAAATTCAGACATATATACAGAGGGACACCAAGGCGTCATCTCTTGACGACAGGATGGAGTGCATTCGTGAACCATAAGAAGCTCGTGGCAGGCGACTCAATTGTGTTTCTGAGGGCAGAAAATGGGGATCTTTGTGTTGGAATCAGGCGAGCGAAAAGAGAAATTGGTGCTGGACATGAAACCTCGGCGGGGTGGAATCCAGCATGTGGGAATAGTTTTATGCCGTATGGAGGGTTTTCATCATTTCTGATGGAAAGCGAGAACAAGTTGGTGAGAAAAGGTAACCAAAATTCGAGTGGGAATTCGACTGGCCGGCAAAGAGTGAAGGCAGAATCAGTTATTGAAGCTGCAACTCTTGCCGCTACTGGACAGCCATTTGAGGTAGTTTATTATCCTCGAGCTAGCACTCCGGAGTTCTGTGTGAAGGCTTCTCTGGTAAAAATGGCACTACAGATGCAATGGTATTCCGGAATGCGGTTCAAAATGGCCTTTGAAACAGATGATTCTTCACGTGTTAGTTGGTTCATGGGAACAATTTCCACGGCTCAGGTTGTTGATCCTGTTCACTGGCCTGATTCACCTTGGCGGCTACTCCAGGTAATATGATTTGTTTAAATCATTTCTCAGATGCAACTTCAGTTAGAGTTATATTTGTGTTTAATTTTTCTTGGTATTTAATCAGTAGTTTCGCATTCTTTGCACATATTCTGCTATGATTTGACCTTCGGCGGGAAACTCTTGTTAGAATTTCACATCGATCTTCCATACTATTTCCTTACGAGCTTTGAGTGATGCAATAACTATGTTCAGTAGTCGTGTACTCGATATGATTAATGCTTTGATGCATATTTTCTTTCAATTGTTGAATGATACTATTCTACCTTCGACATATATGATAACAATATCAGGGAGCAAATGCAAGATACATTTTAGTGCCTCCCATTTTTGTTGCTTGCAAGCTATATGTCAGAATTTTGCCATCACGCTACAAATTATGAAAATTGTGAATTGTCAGAACGAGCTTCATTTGATGGCTTATGTCTTAATGTTGAACTTCATGAAATGCTCTACGAATGAAATGTCAAAGAACTCGATAATCTCTACTTGTTTTATTACATTTATGTCTTAATTCAGGATAATCATTGCAGGTAACATGGGATGAACCTGAATTGCTTCAAAACGTGAGAAGAATCAATCCTTGGTTGGTCGAATTAGTTTCAAACATGTCCACCATCCATCTCTCTCCATTCTCACCCCCGCAAAAGAAATTGAGATTACCACAACATCCGGAGTTCTCTCTAAATGGTCAATATCCTTTGCCAGCTTTTTTGGGTGGGCAATTACTCGGGTCTGGCAACCTCTTTGGTTATCTTCGTGACAACACTCCTGCTGGCATGCAGGGAGCCAGGCAAGCTCAATATGGTTTATCGTTATCAGATTTTTACCTAAGTAAACTACAGTCCAATTTTTTTCAAACTGCTATATCCAAGGGAGCCTTCAATCCAAACACAATAAATCCTGGCAATAACAAGAATGTTTCTTGTCTGCAAACTATTGGAAATTCAGTCCCAACTTCAAAGAATTCTGATAATGGGAAGAAGACCTCATTTGTGCTTTTTGGTCAACCAATACTTACTGAACAGCAAATTTCTCAGAGCAAAAGTTCTTCGGAAGGCAATTCAAACAAGATGGAAAATACTTCCAACGGATATGGTCATACTTTACATCAACATGGTACATCTGAGCGATTATCACGTGGAGGCTTTCATCCCGAGCTCGACTTGGAGGCTAGTCATTGTAAGGTTTTCATGGAATATGAGGATGTGGGTCGCACTGTCAACCTTTCTTTGTTTGGTTCTTATGAAGAACTGTGCAAAAAGTTGAAAAGCATGTTTGACATTGATAGTTCTGGGATCCTGAACCATGTTTTTTATCAGGACGTGACAGGTGCAGTTCGGCAACTTGGCGATGAACCCTTTAGGTGAGTTGAGTTCATATATTCCATTTATATGAACATGATGTTATATTACGTTGCATCAGCTTATTCTCTAGTTTTATCATGAATTTGTAACTTTTTTTTTTGTGGATATTGCAGTGACTTCACGAAATCAACTCGAAGGTTGAGGATTCTAATGGATACAAACAATGAAAATGTAGGAATGTAAAGGTTTAGACCAAATAAATGGAACTTCCATTTTCAATTTGTACAGCAGAAACATGAAGGTTTTGTTCCTAATTTCTTCTTTCTTGTGGACATTTCCGGCAATATTGAACTAAAATCTCAAGAAAATGTCTAGTGTTTTCATTCAAGATTTAGGGATGATATGTTGAGCTGATTTCTTTTAGTGATTTCGAGTTTTGCCAAGATATTATCTACAATGAACTAGTGTAAACTTGCCTTTTGTATTCATTTGTCTCTTAAATTTAAGACTTCTAATTGAAGTCTTCTAAGAAAGAAGGCAATCTAGGATACCATTTTGAGCATGTTCTTGAGAAATTGTGTCTGATGTTCAGCAAGGATGGGAAAATAATTCAAAACGGTTTTGCCTTGTACGATTGAATTTTTGAGTAAAGTAAACATTTTGTTAGGAATCCTCCCTTTGCTGATTTCTTGCTATTTGGAAAGTTTCAGTTGGATGATTGTGAAAGCTGCTGCACATCAACAAATGGGCACAATTTTGTGGTCGACTGTTTGGTAAATTAGATTGTACGGGAATTGAATAGCATCACGGGAAAAGTTAAAATTAAAATATTGTTCATCATAAAGTCCATTTTTGTCCTATATTGAAAAGGTTGAAATAGTTCCAAGAAGGCCTTTGACCTTTAAAAAAAAGGGAAAAAATATTTAAAACATGAAAAACACTGAATGCCAGTTATAACTTCCCACTATTTCAAAAAGCTTTAGGTCTGGAAACTACTGTGGACTAACAAACGATCCACATTGTCAAGAAATCGACGTCGAAGATCAGAGATTGTCATTTCTCTGAAGAAAGTGAGTTTTGAACCTTTAGATACAGTGTATTGTGTTTTATAAGTGTAGTTCTTGTTGTATGTTGTAGAAATTATGAATGTTGTAGATATAAATTGTAAAAAAAAAAGTTAACACTGGGCGGAGATCGCCTCCGCCATGAGCAGCACCACCTGCAATTTGAAGAAGACGACGAAGTCGGGGCTCCAGACACTGGGCGGCCCAGTCCTTTTTTTAGTTAATAAATTTAATTGTTTATTTTAATGTTTGAATAATTATTTTAATTGTTTATTTATATTATTTTAATTAATATTTAATTATTTATTTAAGTAAATAATAAATAAATAACTGAATTAAATTAAATAAATATTAAGAAAACAATTAAAATAACTAATTGAAATAAATTAATGAAATACTTAAATAAAAAATTGAATTTCATATTAAATAAACAATTGAAATAAAGTAATTAAATATTGAATAAACAATATAAATAAACAATTAACATAATTGATGAAATACTTAAATAAAGAATTAAATTGAATAACTAAAATAAATAAATTAAATAAATAATTAAATATTAAACATATAATACACATAAACAATTAAAATAATTATTTAAAAATTCAATAAACAATTAAATTAAATATTAATAAAACAATTAAAGTAAGTAATTGAAATAAACTAATTAAATAACTAATTAAATATCAAGTAAATAATATACATAAACAATTGAAATAATTAATGAAATATATAAGTAAAAATAAAATTAAATATTAAATAAAAAATTAAAATGAGTAATTGGAATAAATAAATTAAATGATTATTAAATATTAAGTAAATAATATATACAATTAAAATAAAAACTTAAATTAAATATTAAATAAGCAATTAAAATAAATAAGTAATAAAGTAATTAAATATTGAATAGATAATATAGATAAAAAAATTAAAATAATTAATGAAATATTTAAATAAGCAATGAAATTGAATATTAAAGAAATAATTGAAATAAATAATTAAATATTAAATAAACAATATACATAAACAATTAATATAATTCATGAAATATTTAAATAAACAATTAAACAAATAATATACATAAATAATTAAAATAGTTATTTAAATATTGAAATAAATAATTAAATTAAATATTAATAAAACAATGAAAATAAGTAATTAAAACAATTAAATTAAATAACTAATTCAATATTAAATAAATAATATACATAAACAATGAAAATAATTAATGAAATATTTAAATAAAATATTAAATAAACAATTGAAATAAGTAATTAAAATAAATAATTTAGTTGTATAATATTTGTTTACGTTAATTTCATGTATTCCATTTTCTTTTTATTCTTGCGTATAGTAGTTATAATTCGGCTAGTTTAATTTTCTAATATTATACTTGATCCATTATCTCTTGTATGAAATTCTAATATTTGAAATTTTGCAGGATGGAATACCATTTGGACGATGCTGTTAGACAGATTCATGGCAAAGTTAAGGTTACGTCAAACTGTAATTTTGTCAACTTTATGACAGTATTGGATTTACTCGATGAGGAGCACGCAAGCATATTGCGTCGATCTTACTTATGGCCCCTGTATTCGTTGCGGGACATACAATTTTCTAGCAGTTGCTCAATGTATTGCTATATCGGCTACTTAAACTAGTCGACGGAGATACCCTCCGTTTTGATCTTGGGGACAAGGTAGCTACATTCTCTATATTCAAGTTTGCCTTCATTGTCGGATTGAGATATACGGGCGAAGAAGCAGCGACGGCCCATATTCCGAAAAATATGAGGGTGCTGAATGAATATTTTCATGGGTAGACGACGGTGACTCTGGCGTAGTTGGGAGACATATTCAGGAGCGACTAGATGTCTGACAAGTTGAAGCTAGGCTTAGTGCTTATTCTCAAGAGCGTACTCAGGTATCATCACAAGAAGGTATCGATCGACATTTTTCATTTGGAAGTTATTGATGACATTGATACTTTCAACAACTATCCATGGGGACATATGTGTTTTACGAATACCTTACACATCTTCAGGAGAGGGTATTTGATGCCTAAGGGACGTAAGCCTGAGCGCAAATACGATGCATATGGCCTGCTGTTGGCTTTGTAGGTAAATGTTTAACATAATGAATTATCTAGTTTTTTTATTAAATTCTATATTTACTAATTGTAATTGTTGTAAGTGTAGGTGTATGAGACTGTCCCGATCTTGGCCAGCCGGAATGGGAGAAGAGTGAAGACATGCTGCCCTCAGATGCATCACTGGCGAGCACAAGACAAACCACTTGCTAAACAATTATTAGCTATCATCGACGATCCTGAGGTATATATTATACATTTGCGATTTATTTTGTACATCCTTCTGAAATATTTATGCATGGTCATTAACTCGATGAAATATCAATATGTCAACTTGAAGTCCTCACCGAGTTGATAGCGTCAATCGAGGAGGAGGGTCAAAGATATTTTCCTAGACTGTCTGTTCCGAAGCACCAGATGATCATATGACTAAGTCAGACGTGGATCAAGATAGGGTATGTTAGTCGAATATGATTTGTTGATTTTCGTTTTGATTTTTTTAATTAAGTCATTTATTTGTAATATTCATTTTTTAAGAGCGCCGTCTAGTATCATCTTGGCCTAGGAAAACACCTCCGTCAAGGAGATTACCTCCTGCATATAGTCGTAGTGCTTCGATAGATGATATGTTCGAACTCCTTACTGCATTCACGAGGGAGATGAGAAGCGACATGGCGGAGTTACGAGATGATGTCGCGATGATTAAGAGACCTTCATGTTGACACCGTAGGGATACAAGGCGACGTAGCTGGTCTGGGAGAGACTGGTGGCTTTCGGGATGGAGGGGATAACAAAGGGACTTGCGGTTCTGAAGATGGAGGGGGTGACGGAGGGACTGACAATTCTCATGAACGATGGGATAATAGAGGAGATGGTCATATGGGGTATGATAATTCGTCGTAGCCATCAAATGCTGCATTCGAATCATTTTTTTCATATACAACGGAGGGTGTGGCCTCGATGGAGGTGACGAAGGGAGTACAAAAGAAGGTGGTGAAGGGGTACATGAGGGGGATGTGGCGGAGAAGGAGAAGACGCCAGATACAATCGATGATGTCATCTTTGTAATCGAAGGGACGACGGAGGTGAGGAAGGGGAAGAAGCGTGCTGCTGATATGCCAGAGCAGGTGGTCAGCAAAAGGTCGAGATTGCCGTCACAGTACGTCATCTCTCCCTTCATGGTTGAGGCGAAGAGGAGTTCGTCGATGGGACGTACCCCATTCTTTTTTAGGAGGTGGACCATGTCAAATGAAAAGCGTTCGAGATGGAGTGGAGAAAATTTTTCACCCTGGTAAGTATTGTATGATTTTAATAAAGTACGCTACACTAACTCGTATATGCTTCTTTTAACATCTCTATTTTTTTCAGAGCTAACCACACGATAACTTGAAGGACGATATTGGACGCTTACAAGTGATTCTATAATATCACCCCCTTGGGGGCTTGGCTTGTTGACAATGTAAGTGAAGAAGTCATATTGTAAATTTTTTTGTATATATAATGTTTGATGTATTAAATGAAATAACCATATCTTTTTTGTGTTTCTTAATATAGCACATCAACCTAGCCATGGACTTGTTGTCCAATCAAGCTAAAAGATATCCAAAATTGTTTCACATTCCTGGCCGAGTAATATTGAACATCGAATTCTTTCATGTCATTACCATTGAATATCAGTTTCTCCAACTTATGGATAACAAGTACACGGTGCTCGAGTATATACTCGAATGAGTCATTGGGATGTCGTCGACTGTTGGGAGAAGTTATGGGAGGTAGTGATGGCAATGGGGTGGGTTCGGGGCGGGACGGAGTCATGCCCCATTTACTGCCCCCCCCCCCCCCCCCCCTCAAATTCACAATTTGAAAACACTAACATCCAAATTATGTACTCGAAACAAACAATATCTGAAAATAAACAATTACAAATACAGTTACATTGTAACTAAATTTCACTTCTTTGTCAAAAAATAAATTTGATATTTTTTTCATTTTTATAACTTCATTCATCGGCAGGTTCAGAGATTATAGAAGATGGATATTGAAAAACGAAAGAAATATTATACTCAATATCATCATAATAACTATGATTAAAATTTAAATTATGAGATAAATAAAATTATCTCCTCATTAACATCTTCATCATTCATCTTGGAGCAACTTCCAAAATATGCGGACGGCGCAAAATTCGCTATTAATAAAATAAAATAATTAGTAATGAGAAAATTCATAAAAGAAACAACATAAAAAGCAAATGTTTATATACATCGTACTGTGAATATCGGCCCATAACCAATCTTGAGCATACATTAAAACCTCCAAATTTTTGGGGTGAAGTCTATTTCTGTGTGGACTAAGAAATCAACCACTAGTACGGAAAGTAGATTCGAATGCCACAGTAGATAT